AGCTGCTCTGGACATCACTTGTTTTGACAATTTGGGTGAACTCATGATTTTGGAACAGTTCAAAAACATTCTTCCTGACAACATTGCTACTTATATAATAGAACACAGGGTTACTTCGGTGTCCGAAGCTGCGGTGGCAGCGGATGAGTTTGTGTTACTTCATAAGGGCAGGTTCGGAGGGCGCGCTGGAGCTCTACCCGTTTTTGAAGGAAGTAGAAGGGCTGTTGATGTTGGTTCATTGGGGATGGATCCAAAGAAAGTGGCTTGGGAAAAATCTGAGGATACTTGTAACTATTGTCGTGAGAAAGGCCATTGGAAACCAGAATGTCCGGCGCTTAGAGCAAAATCCAAAGGAGGAAGATTTGTGGTTAAACCAGTTGCATTAGCTGTTCCTGGGAAAAGCTGCTGTGTTAACGAGGTGCTTACGGACCACTTATGGGGATCAGAGGTTTTGGCGTCCTATGATCCTTTTATAAGAGAGGGCTTGGTGTCATTGGTAGGTAGCAATGTCAGAGTTCCAATTACAATTTTGAGGGATACCGGTGCATTTGACTCCTTTATCGTTGACTCTGTTCTGCCTTTGTCTGAGGAAAGTGACACTGGTGACACGGTTTGGAGTCGGGGGATGGGATTAACGGTTTTCCCTGTTCCTGTTCATAAGATGTATCTTGACTGTGACCTTGTTAAAGGGGAGGTAGCTATTGGTGTACGCCCAGCTTTTCCAATCAAGGGGATACATTTCATTCTGGGTAACGGTTTGGCAGGTGGTAGAGTCTGGGCTGATGTTCCCTCTGTGTTAGTCACTGGTGGTCTGATTGAGTCAGGATCTGAGAAGTGCTCTACAGTTATGCCAGACGTAACGGCCTCGTGTGTGATCACACGTGCTAGGGCGAAAAGGGATCATGACTTGCTACCAGATGGAAAGTCAACTGACACAGTGGAGGTTCCATCTTTGTCTGACTTTTCGGTATTACTTACACACCATGAGGTGAGAGAGGAGCAACGTCAGGATTCTTCGTTGAAAGACCTTTTGACTGTGTTGCGCCAGTTGCACAGGGGGAAAACACTTCAAGTGGATACATGTTGCATAATGACTTGTTGTTTAGAAGATGGGTTCCTGTGGCTGTTGATGGTGGGGGAACTGAGGTTTTCCAGCTGGTGGTGCCAACTAAGTTTCGTCCTCTGGTCCTGAAAGTCGCACATGATGAGTGTGGACACTTTGGGGTTCGGAAAACATATTTGAACATCCTGAGACACTACTTTTGGCCACGTCTAAAGAGAGAGGTGTCGCAGTATATTAGAACATGTCATGTGTGTCAGCTAACAGGGAAACCAAACCAGAAGATCAAACCAGCACCACTACAGCCGATACAAGTGGTAAGTGAACCGTTTACACATCTCATTGTGGATTGTGTGGGCCCTTTACCGTGTTCAAAGTCTGGTTGCAAATATCTGCTGACTGTGATGTGTCAAACCACTAGGTATCCAGCGGCTTATCCTTTGAGGTCGATTACAACTAAGGCTGTGGTTAAGGCTTTGTCACAGTTTATTTCAATATTTGGTATTCCTAAGGTCGTCCAGAGTGATCAAGGCTCCAATTTTTCATCTCACATGTTTGCTCAGGTGTTGAAGCTTTTGAAGATTAAGAAGAACCAGTCAACAGCTTACCACGCTCAAAGCCAGGGTGCCTTGGAAAGGTTTCACCAGACATTGAAATCCTTGTTGCGTGCTTACTGTACTGAGCTAGATGGAGACTGGGAGGAAGGTCTTCCTTGGTTGATGTTGGCTGCAAGGGAGGCGGTACATGAAGGTACGGGGTTTAGCCCTAATGAGTTGGTTTTCGGACATGCTGTACGGGGTCCCTTGGCAGTGCTGAAAGAGGGTTGTGTTGACACTGAGCCACCACGGAGCTTGGTGGATTATGTGAATGGATTCAGACGTCGTTTGGGTGTTGCTTTGAGTATGGCACGGGAAAAGCTGTCAGTGTCTCAAAGTAACATGAAGAAGTTCTATGACCGTTGTTCGGCACGACAGGAGTTTAATCCAGGTGACCAGGTTCTATCACTTATGCCTATTGTTGGTTCCCCATTTCAGGCTAAGTATTCAGGTCCGTACACTATCATTGAGAAAACTTCTGACCTAAATTATGTTGTGGCAACACCAGAACGAAGGAAGACCAAACGCCTCTGTCATGTAAATCTTCTGAAACCCTACCACAAGCGGGAGGTTAACACAGACACAGAGGTGGAGAAGGATAAAGTGCAGCCGGCTGTGGTGGTGACACATGGTTTGACGCATGAGGGAGATATAGTGCCCGAACCTGATGATAGTTTGCTCTGTGGTCGTTTGAGAAATTCGGAATCGCTAGATAATTTAGACGGGTTGTTGTCTCATTTGACGGCATCAAGACGTGAGGAATTATCAGCATTGGTACACAAATATCTGTGTCTGTTTGGAGACACTCCTTCGCAAACTGACTGGGCTGAGCATGATATTGATGTTGGGGACGCTCAGCCGATTAAGCAACATTTTTATCGCATGCCACCAGTTAAGCGCAGTCGGTTGGATGCAGAGATTAATTACATGGTGGAGAATAAAATTGCTGTCCCATCAGCATCTAGTTGGGCGTCTCCATGTATTTTGGTGCCAAAGCAGGATGGGACACCTAGATTCTGTACTGATCTAAGAAAAGTGAATGCGGTGACAAAATCGGACTCTTTTCCTTTGCCACGGATGGATGACTGTATAGATCAGGTGGGGTCTGCAAAGTATGTTAGCAAATTCGATTTGCTTAAAGGGTATTGGCAGGTCCCCTTGTCTAAGCGGGCACAGGAAATAGCAGCATTTATCACACCATCTGGACTTTATTCATATAAGGTAATGCCGTTTGGGTTAAAAAATGCTCCTGCTACATTCCAACGTTTGATGAATCGCGTGGTGTCGGGTTTAGAGGGCTGTACGGTGTATCTAGACGATTTGGTAATTTGCAGTGATACTTGGACGGCTCATGTTCAGCGCATCGAGAGGTTGTTTGAACGGTTGACAGAGGCACATCTGACTATTAATTTAGCCAAATGTGCCTTTGCAAAGGCCACAGTGACATACCTTGGTCATGTGGTGGGTCAGGGTTGTGTGGCTCCAGTTCTGGCCAAGGTCAGGGCAATATCTGAATACCCACAGCCCACAACCAAAAAGGAACTCCAGAGATTTTTGGGTATGGTGGGTTACTACAGGAGGTTCTATGAACATTTTTCCACTACAGTGTTTCCTCTGACGGAACTTCTTAGGGCTAAGGTAAAATATACTTGGTCGGTCGACTGTCAGAGAGCGTTTGATAGTGTTAAGTCTTTATTGTGCTCCTCTCAGGCGTTAGCGGCTCCATGTTTTGATCGTCCTTTTAGTCTCCAAGTAGATGCAAGCCAGGTGGGAGTCGGTGCGGTTCTGCTCCAGGTTGACAAGGGGGTGGTGGAGAGACCCGTCAGTTTCTTTTCAAAGAAACTTAACAGTTACCAAAGGAATTATTCGGTGATTGAGAAGGAAGCGTTGGCACTCATTTGGGCGTTGCAGCATTTCACTGTATATGTGGGAGCAGGAGGACCAATTTTGGTTTACACAGATCACAATCCCCTGACCTTTTTGCATTCAATGAAGTGTCCCAACCAAAGGCTGACGAGGTGGTCTTTGTTTCTTCAGGCTTACAACCTTGATGTTAGGCACATTAGGGGATCCGACAATGTTATTGCTGACGCGCTGTCACGTGCTCCATGGCACTAAGCAGTTATTAGTTTGACCTTGATGTGTATATATATATGGACTGTCATACTGTGATAAATCTTTCTCGCTCTGCCCATGTTTTTTAAAGTGCTTCTCAGATACTGGTGTTGCTAAAGGTGTGGCAGGGTGCTGAAGGCAAGGATTGCTGTGTGAAGGTGGTGTATTTCATGGGGGTTCTGGGGGAGTGCCATATGTGTGGTTTTGTTTTCCATGACTTTTTCCTTTGGGATGGGGTGGGTGTGTGGTGCCGGTGGCCCTGGGGACACCGACTTTAAGGGGGGGGGTGTGACGACCCCTGCCTCACTATCTCTGGTGGTGGGTATGCGTGTGTGTGGCCCTTTAATGACTCTCCCTCTGTGTGTGCTCACGGGAATTGAGGACACCTGGCGGTTGGAGCTAGCCGGATAAAGGACTGGACCGGATCTCGCTCTCTCTCTCTCTGGCAGGAGGACGCAACGTGAACAGCAGTCACGACCAGCTGACCTTTTGTTTCGCCTGTTTGTGTACTTCAGCAGCAGCCAAATAAACTCTTTTTTTTCTATTCACGCTCTCGTTTCTGTCGCGCGTTTGTTGTGGCTGAGAGCCAAGCCATGACAGCGATGCATGGATTTATAGAGAAACAGCACCGCAGCCGTAGGCTGGACCCCGGGCCGAGCGGTCTACAAACTGAGACGGTCTGGTCTATCGAGGTTTTCTTGTTTACATGACCTGGCGCAGCTCGTGAGTTGGCCTAGCAAGTAACCTGCTAGCAACATGCACAGCTGCAATAAGCTAACAAGCTAATTGAGCCAGAACGTTTCCTTTTTTTGTTTGAACATTTATTGAAGTAATTGATATTTCAGGCTGAGAGGACAATGGCCTGTTAAATATGGTTGATTAAGCTGTGTACTTCTAGCCGACAGATATGTTAGCATTAGTTAGTTAACAGTAAGTAAATATAAGACTAACCTATGTACTCCAGCTAGCCGGCTAACCTACACCCAGGGCTGCCAAGTTTCAGTAACAAGTAGGAGTGAGACTTTCGGGGGAAGATGCGTTTCGATTTTTTTTTTGCCTTTTTTAACGTCGATTTAGAGGAATATCTCAATTTAAATTAACATTAAGACTGTTGTGATGTCTTCACCCCCATGCCAGCTGCCCTCCCTGCACTGTAGGCCTCCTCATGCTTATATAGTGTTAATAATTGACCAGCACAAGTAAAAATGAAAACAATTGTAACAAGAAAAGATTTGACAAATAAAATACATTTATTTATAAAATGTCAATATAAAGAAAACATAGCAGCCTTTTAAGAAATAATAGCAGCCTTTTAAGAACCAATAGCAGCCTTTTCCTTTAGTGCATTTTTTTTTTAAGAGTAACAAAATTAGAACCAGAATAATATATATATATATATCATATATATTATAAATAAATAAAGTGCATGTCTTTGTTTGTGTGTTTTGGTTTACATGACATGTCTCATGTTGTAGGTGTTTGTGGCAGATTTTGATGCCTTGATGACAGAGGGAGGGGGCTCCCATTTGAAACACTGTGGCTCAAGGTTTGCCATCTTCACAGTCATGATGGATGATAGAGTTCCATCAAGAGCCAAACAGTTTTTCGGGTTTTGTTCAGTCCCACCACAGAGAACACTCGTTCAGCATCAGCATTTGAATGTGGAAGTACCAACACCAACTTGGCAATACGAGAGAGCCTCCAAAATCTGCTCATACCGGTCACCTTTGAAAAATGTAGGAAGCCTAATTACTCTCAAATATTTTTGTATAGAATTAAGTTGATTACGTCAATGGGTATTTCAAAGGGTGCAGAATAATTCTTACCTTTTTCTTCATTGATGCCATGTTCCCCCAAAAGCTCTCAATGTCGAACGTGGCTGGGTCTTCGGGCATGGCAATGTCCATGGACTGGTAGTCCAGAAACTCCTCACTCAGTTTGTCACGCTCGTCAGGTCCGTTGTATGGGAGAAGTTCAGGAAACCTAAAAAGAACACAATGTGCACTGATCTGGTAAAGTAATGTAGCTGAAACGGGTTGTTTTTCAGATGTGGTCATTAAACTTTACAATCTATTAAGAAAATGTTAAGAAAATGTGACAAGAGCCAAGAGTCTTTAACCTGCTCTACTTAAGCATATTGAGATAACTTGTGTTATGATTTGGCACTATAGATAAATGTACTTGACTTGATACCCCAACTAACCTGTCGACAAAGTAGTCAAAGTAGTCACTTTAGCAATCATCAACAACCACAATAGCTAACTTGAAAGCACCCCTTTAAGTATCTTCATCACATCAGTGATTGATTGATTGAATACTTTATTAGACAGAAATGCAAACAGCACAAGGTTCAGTCACACATTTGGGCTAAAAGGATAACGTAAAAAAGTCCTGTGGACTTGTTTCCATTGTGGTCCTATGTGTGTGATGAGATGACATTATCAAACTCATAACTTGTCTGCACAAGCAGCCCTCTAACAAACACAAACAGTATTATGTGAGTGAGATCAGTGAGTGGATAGTGCGTGCATCTGCTGATGTGAAACTTGGAGGATTACCTGGCAATTGGTTTGATGGGTCCTTATAGAGGATTTCATGCAATTCCCGGTGCTGCGGGCTTCAGAAACTTCGAGAGAAACTTGCGGATGATGAAAAAAGGAACAAACATAGTACATTATTACTAGCATACTGTATTACTAGCATACTGTATCCCAACCTTCCCAATTTACCTCATCATGTAGAAGGAAGATGGAGGACTTCTCTCTCTGGAGGAGGAGGTTGAAGGTGGAGAAGACTGGCAACGTTGCTTGATAGAAGAGCAGGTACACCTCTGTCATTGGGTTAGAGAATGCTTCCAACAGCCTCCTGAACCTTGGTTGTTTCTCATCTGTGAATAAAAAAACACAGGTTGTGCATACTACATACATTTACTTTTCAGTCTGTTATAATAATCGTTCGTTCATTTGGATCATTGAAATATGATGCCTACCTGATGACTTGAAGTAGCTGGACTGTGGTTCATACTGCTGCAGGGTACGAGTCAAACACCTCTCCAGGCTCAACCATCGAATGGAAACGTGCATAAGTATTTCCAAATACTCGCTTCCATGGAGCTCACAGAATTCTATGACAAGAATGGAACATCTTAATTTCAATTTAATTTAACTCTTCTGAATTTCATTTGGACTGCACATACCTGTCAGGTAACCTTTACGATTGGTGCTTCCTTTAAATCAGTATCCCACATCCACAGTCAGATCCTCTGGATCAAAAGATAGCTGCATGTTACTGTTTGATTGATTGAATATTTTATTAGACAGAAATGCAAACAGCACAGGTACAGTACAGTACTGTAAATTTCCTTAGCTCATAGTAAGCATCCATTAGATCACACAAGCAAATACGTGATGATTTAGCTAACACTGCTATTAGTCACGGTTGTTGTTAAACCCACCGCAGCAACCTGCCACACTGCTCACCAGCAGCCTGTGTAACGTTAAGTCTCACGTAGTCAGACCCACCGTTGACTTCATAAAAATAAAAATATTTGTACAAATAATGTGGTTACCTACCGTTTGACCTCCCGCTTCAGATGAAAATGTCAGTCACGGCATTATTGAGGCGCTGACACAGACGTTTCACGTTTACTTTTCGATTTCTCCGCCATAGAGTTATGTTGTTCTTCATAGGATAGAGACGCAATGACCCGCCCTAAGCTGCCTCTGATTGGTTTGTATACGTGGTGCCTTTCGTTGGGTTGGTTGGATTTAGCCTCGAGGGCTGATGATTGGTTATCACATATCTCGGTCAGCCAATCGGGGGCAGAATAGGGCGGGTTCACCCTGTCCCTGACTCGAACTACAACAAGCCTCAAGCAACAAGTTATGGAAATATATCATTAAATAAAAAAATAATTATAAAGTAGTGAGAGGGGGGGAAAAGCGTGTGAAATGGCAAGTGTGGCGTGAGGCGTGTGAAGAGGTTACATTGCGTGACTCTCACTCTCAAAGGGTGAGACTTGGCAGCTCTGCTACATCTGTTGCTCCCGGTCTGCACGTTTTACGTTGCATAAGGTAAGTGAACATGAAACTATTCAGCAAAACTTTCAATAATAATCTAAGGTATTGAATTTTGGGATATTACTTGTATACAAATCTATAAATGCCTTCAGGTTTCTAAAATATACAATATGTGGTAAATTCAACAGTGGATCCAGCAAAGATTCACATTTTTGCATGATTTTAGTTATTGATTTGTTGCTGTTACTTAATTATACTTTTAATAAATTCAAGTCAAGCTCAGTTACATGTGATGGTAGCTAGTTAATGCTCTTACCTGTGTGCCTCCTCCACAACCAGACTGAGATTCTATTGGCTCTAACGGTCAGAAAGAGATGTCACATGTCAAAATCGAACAAGGGGGGCCAGAGATAAGGAAATCACCCAAATGGACTCAGAAGAGGTTTTTTTTGTGCTAAATCTGTCTTAAAAAGATCAAATATCACTTGTTTTGCATCAATCTTGATACAGGGTACTTATTATATGTTGTACTTTGGATTCCTAAAGCTTTTAGTCTACTAACCCATCATCCGGTTAGGGTTAGTTTTCACTATAAGTTAGGGATGCACGATATTGGTTTTTTGAAACCGATACCGATAACTTCCTGCTTCTCAAGACCGATACCGATACCGATAACCGATAATAATATAATACATATATATATTAAATGTACCTGTAGTTTTTGCACACCTGGTGGTAAAAAAAAGACTAGTAGTGAGCAAATGACATGAGCATTACTACTATGAACAAAACAAAGCCAAGAACAGTTTTGACTCTCGTCAAGCGCCATCATTTCTATGATGAAGTTAGAGATCGTCTTAGCCCTGGGGTCGTCTCTGGCAAACTTCTTGCCTTTTTTAAAAGCCTCGTCGATAGGTAAAAGCCCCGGTGCCTTTGCAGCTGGCTTTGGATTCGCCGCTAGTTTAGCAGCACAGGCGTCTTTGTATGCTTTTAACACACCATCGTAGCGATGGCGATGTTTCAGGTGACTAATCAGGTTGGAAGTATTATAGCTCGTTGCCTTTTTCCCTCCTCGTGGAACTTCTGCATTGCATTTGTTAATACAAATAGCAAGCGAACTATCTAACTCTGAAACTTTGAAATAGTCCCATACTACCGACGACATGTTTGTTTACTGTCCTGGCTTCACGGCCGCACACCATTTACGTCACAGCCAGGCATGAGTTAGGGAGCGCTGGATTTGTGAAAAACTCCCCTCTTCCAAAACCACTAATACCACAGTACTGGCAAAACGGGAGGAGCCGAGTGAAAAACAAGCGCCCCTCATCCCAATCCACCCACACCGCAGTATTTTTTTCTTTTTTTTTTACCCAAAAAATATGTTGTATATTATCGGGACTATTAATACTGTTATCGGGTTTATCGGGATGACGTCATAATTCCTAATATCGGACCGATAATTATCGGGCCGATAATTATCGTGCTACTATAAGTACAAAATATTTTTTGGGCGGACACTATAATTTACAGTTTTTTTACCATGTTCAATCTGAATTTTCTTTAAAATAATCTATATTGATTCTGACTTTTCTACATCCAACTCACAGGTTTATCATTACTTTGAGATAAAAGATTATTAATTTAACCCTTTTAGAAGGGAAGATATGGTCATTTGTTCTGGGAATGTCATTTTCGAGCCTGAGACCTGAAAAACAGGCTTAGGGCTAAACTGGTTAAAGAATACTTTAGGTTAAGGTCTTATTTTGAATAAGGAAAAAGCTTTGGGGGTATAAATATTAAGCCTGACTAATATATTGCTTTCCTGCAATGTTAACTACTGTATGTTTAAGCACTTATTTTAACTTATATTATACATCTGTATTATACTCTTATAAGATGTATGTAGATAGTATAATAAATGTGCAGAATACGACAGTTTAATGGTGGAGGTACACACATATTGATAGATGTCTTGTAATGCACTGTTGAGGAACCTGCGACCAAAGTTGTTCATCTCCGGCCTTGTCAGGTATTGAACAATCAATAAATAAAGAACACAGAATTATTAAATATAAAACACAAAATGTGTGTGATTATACTAAATGATTTACAAATAAACACCACTGCATATTTACAACTGTTACACATGCTGATGTAACGCAAATGTTTCCAACTTGGGATCAATAAAGTATATCTTATCTTAAGATGATCGATGGCTACTGCCATATTTGCAAAATGTGCCTCTGAACCTTGACAAGTGCATGTTTCAGGCTCATCAATTAACAACAGGAGGGGTCACACACATAAGACCAGCTGTTAAATAAAGCTCTTCTGACCTTAGCTGGCATGTGGGTAATGCTACCCATTATGGGCACAAGCAATTTTCACCAATGTATTAATTATATGTTTTACATTTGAGTGTTTCCTATCCCCTAAACCTCCAGGGATGTAAACAGTTTAATACTGGCCACTTCTTATTATGGGAAATACGAAAACGTCTTTTAAAACTACACTCCTAGTAGAAACGGGTCATAGATAGAGAACATGTTGCGAAACACAATAGCCAGCATGTGTAGTTCTGGGGACGGGGTGGGGGAGGGGGGGACGCGGTGGACCCGTTCAAATCCAGTTTTGGACATTCTGCTGTGGTTCCATCCCATTTCAAGTGCTGTTCGACGCTCGGCACACTCTCCAATCACAGAGCTTGAGGACTATCACAGGGTTTGTCAAGCGAAGCGGAGAGAATACTTACTTCCGGGTATAATATTCTGTAAAGCAAATGAGCTGCTCCGACCCTCGGTCCTGACGGACTCCAACTTGTGTTTATTAATTAATCAAACAAATAAATAAACACAAGGATAATTATGTGTTATTGTTGAGTAAATGGAGAATTGCACAGGGGAACATAACGTAGGCTATCTATGCCACAATTTTAGATGCAGATTTTGTTAAACTAATATGTTTGCGCTGTGGACCAACACTATACATTGACGGGGAAGGGGGTAGCAATAAAGATAACACCATTAAACAGTTACACAACATAACAGAAATAATATCGATAGCAGCATCCCTAGCAACCACCTTGGTGACAATGAAAACGTTGTGTAGACACAATTTCCTGAAGTAATCTTCGTAATAACTAGCAAACTAAAGATCATGTGCATCCACTGCACACATAATCTGAAATAACAACTCATATTTCTCGCATCAAATGACATCAAAAGGCATTTTAATGGCCAAACTAACTTTAAAATAGGCATTTTACACCGAGAATAAAACGAAGTTCGGCCATGTTTTTTTTTTTCTGCAGGGAGAAATTTGAAGATCACGTGACATAGACGCCAGTCATTGGAATGAATGGTGAAAAAAAACGTAGGTATTTTACAATTTCAGAGGCGTTTTTGTAGAAATACTAGCCTACCTCCTATGTTGTGGACCAACGTAGTTATTACACGTTTTTTTTTATGAGACTGGGTTGGTATTTCAGTAGTGTGTGTGCAAGGCCAGATGTTTTCAGTAGTGTGTGTGTGAGGTGAGTTTGAATTTTGGCCTACACAGCCCTTCATAGTGCAGTGCTGCCCACATGACGCGTTATAACGGCGCTCATGGGTTTATTAAGGCCGTGTGTACGAGGCGTATCTCGGACAGAGGAATGCCGCGAGCTCTGTAGTTTATTAACCAACAGGTTAAAAACAATGGCTTCTGCAGCGAGCCCTGCTGTCTACTAATCAACAGATTAGTGGCAGCCGGCTTAATTAGTGCGCTCTGAAATGTATTAACCGACAGGTTAAAGCCAGGCTTTAGCAACGAGCCCTGCTGGCTATTAACCGACAGGTTATAGACAGCTGGTTTACACAGGGCGTGAGGCAACCCAAGGTGGGCTTGGACCGAAAGGGCTGCGCAGGGGGCTCCACACGCTGCGTCTCACTCCGACTCTCATCATGAGGCGCGTACACGCTCAGGGGATGGATGGAGGTGTGTGCAGTGATGTCCACATGAGGCGTTATAACGGCGTTCATGGGTTTATTATGACTGTCTGTCTGTAGGAGGTGTATCTTGGACAGAGGAATGCTGCAAGCTCTGCAGGTTATTAACCGAGGTTAAAACCGGCAGGCTTCTGCAGCGAGCCCTGCACTTAATCAACAGATTAGTGCCAGCCGGCTTAATTAGCGAGCTTTGCAGTTAATTAACTGATGGGTTAAAACCAGCAGGCTTCTGCAGCCAGCCCTGGCGCCGTGGCGCTGCGGGCGCTGCCGCTGGGGGCACTAAGCCTGGAATACTGCTCCTTCCCCCGTTCTGGCTTCTCTGTGATGCTGTAATGGTCGTCATGGTGACGAGCCACGCCATTGCCCTCGCCGCCGCTGCCCGTGAGGCGAAAGGGCTGCGAGGAAGCCTCCACACGCTGCGTTTCACTCCAGCTGTCATCATGAGGCGTGTACACGCTCAGGGGATGGATGGAGGTGTGTGCAGTGCTGTCCACATGAGGCGTTATAACGGCGTTCATGGGTTATTATGACCGTGTGTAGGAGGCGTATCTCGGACAGAAGAATGCCGCGAGCTCTGCAGGTTATTAACCGATAGGTTAAAACCAGCAGGCTTCTGCAGGGAGCCCTGCTGTACTTAATCAACAGATTAGTGGCAGCCGGCTTAATTACCGGCTCTGCTTCCTCGGAGGCTCTCGCGGAGCAGACCAGGAGCGGGGGAGCCTCACTCCCCTTTGACTCACCGCCGGGAGACCCTGTCTCTGAGGTGGCGGGGGAGCGGAGACGTGGGACGGAGCCCCTGCAGCCGCCGAAGGGCGAGTCTGACGCCGAGGCGGTTGCTGTGGGCGTCTCTCCGCTTGCAGCCTCCTGTGGCCGGCGTGGCCGCCGCGGCTGCTGCGGGCGTTGGTGCCGCTGTGGGCGCTCAGCAGGCTGGAGCCAGCTGTACATGCTGGCGAATGCCGTCCGCCTGTTCCGCGGCCGTCTTCATGGACTCCACTATGGCGTGGAACTGGGGTCCGAACAGCCCGACCGGGCTGATTGGAGCGTCCAGTAGCACTTTTCTGGCCGTCTCCGTAACAGACGCCTGCTTCAGCCAGAGGTGGCGCTGGATCTGTGTCACCCACGCGGAAATCCTCGCCTGGGAGACAGCGCCGTGCTGGCCGCCTTGCTGAGTTCCTCTGCCTCGGTGGTGGACCGCTCTACCAGTGTCACCACCGAGTTGGAGAGCAGCGCGATGTTATTCGCCACCGCGCTGTGGTGACAGAGAGGGGAAAGCATGTTCGGCCGCC